TTAATATACCTTTATTGATTTCAGAGAGAGGAAAGGAGAGGGAGAGAGAGAGCTAGAAACATCAATGATGAGAGAGTCATTGATCGGTTGCAGCCCGCAACCCAGGCATGTTGTGGGAATCAAACCCTGATCGCCTGGATCCTAGGTTGACGCTCAACCACTGAGCCACGCCCGGCCGGGCGCTGCTGTTACTCTTAATTGACCTAACAGATAACAATTTGTTCAAAATAATAGCAACCATGTATTAAAAATGATTACAGCTTAGGTGATAGCGGGATGCATGAGAGCAACAATGCAGGGCAGAGAGAGGGAGTTAGGAACACTTCGTTACACTAAGGAGAGTAAAAAAAAAAAATAAGTATAACTGATATGAAAGGAGAGAAAACAGAACCATATAAAATGATCACTTTAAATCACAAAAAGCAGAAAAAGATCATCAGACAAAAATAAAAACAAAGGAGAGTGACAAACAGAGCACAGATGTGGGAGCTACTAATCCAACTACACCAACAATCAGCTTTAAAAGTCAATGGTCTAAATATAGCAATTAAAAAATAAAGATTGTCAGTGAGTAGGAAAACAATACCTAATAATAGATACTGCCTACAAGAAACCCACTTTCAATATAAAGACGCATATAGAGTAAAAGTGAAGGGACGGAGAAAGACATACTCTGCTAACACTGATCAAAAGCAAACTGAAATACCGATATTAATTTCAGACAGAGAAGATGTCAAAGCACAGAAAATTACCAGGAACAGAGAAGGGCATCTGGGAGGCAAGGAGTATGGTGAATGCATCACTACAACAGAAGACTTCAACACCCTTCTACCAAAAATGCTGGAGAAAATCAGCAAGGACATAACGGGGCTCAGGAGTATCATCAACCAGCTGAATATAACTGTTATCTACCTCATTCGACGACGGAATACGCATTACTCTCCCGTTCACATGAAACATTCAGCAAGAGAGACCACGTTCTGGGCCATAAAACACAGCTTAAATTTAAAAGAACAGAAGTCATACAATGTATGCTCTCAGGTGACAATGGAATTAAAACAAGAAATCAGTAATAGAAAAATAGCTGGGAAATCCCAAAACACTTGGAAATGAAACAGCACACTGCTAAATACCACGCCATGGCAGTGTTATAATAATGCATTATTTATAAAAACAGGCAGTCGGCCCAAGGACCACAGTTTGCCATCTCTTGCTTTAAACCCTTATGATTTTAGGTCTTTATGTATCAGTACCGTTATAATTATCCTGAATTTTTAAGGGTTTACTGACGCTGGTACTGAAAATTAACTTCAATATATGGGCTTGGCAAAAGTAGGTTTACAGTTGTGAGTATGCAAAACAGAGCTTATTCTTGTATTATTTATTAATTATTGTATTATTTTCCATATGAGCAACTGTAAACCTACTTTTGCCCACCCTATACATAAGTGATTTAGAATATTTGTGATAATAAAGAGTTGTAAAAAAATTTCTCATTATCTGTTGGTTAACCAGAAAATATAACTGAGCAGAACACAATCACTGACAGTTGTAGTTAACTTAGGAATTACCTACTCATGAAAATAGGTGATAATTTAAAATGATCAATATACAGAAAACTAACAATCAAATGTACAGAAGATTAAATATATTGTGATAGATGGACAGTGGTGGTGGAGCTGCAATAATTTTACTTTTCTTCTGTCTGCCTATGTTTTTGTAATTAACAATATGATTTCTGAAATTAAAAAAAGCTTCCTTAAAGTACATGATAAAAGCCAAAATGTTTTGATTGCTGAAGTATATAATTTAGTCTAGAAAGAAAAATATTTAGACTTGAAATTAAAGAAAAATTCAACCATTTTATCCTACACTCCTTTTTTAGAAAAAATGTTTACATCAATTAAATAGATAAATTAAAATTTTCATTTACCTGTCGGTTCCTTTCATCCATTATGCGTGTGATTTGTATTTTCTTCCGCCCCATTTTCAGTCACCTTTCCTTCCTTATATTCCAAATATTTAATTCAAAAATTAATTTTCTTCAATACCCTAATGCATCATACACAGCTTCTATTATTTCAGCTTCTAGTCCAAGGGCTACAGCTGAAATTTTCTATAAGATCTAAAAGAAAACACAAATTAGAAAGTTTAAGTTCTATAGATTTGCAAGTCATGAAAATGTTATACAAATTTCAAACCTGTTTTTAAGCTGCACACAGACAGCATTATTAGTTAAAATTTTTGGTTACATAAAATTAGTAAATAAGTTGAAGTCTTGTTAATTTAACCCCTAAAATATATCTTAAATCTTTCTGTGCCTCTAGTTCTGACTAAAAGAGTGCAATCGTAACCTCTAGGCTTTTCTCAATGCTTATTATAATACTAGCAACAACAAGAGCCAACACTTGCTGAGATTTTTGTATGCCAGGCACTTTTCTAAATACCTGATATGTTTTAATTCATTCAATCCTAACAGCGATCTTCTGAGTTAGTTGTAATTACTACCTCATTTTATAAACAGGATTATTGAAGCACAGAGATAGTAAGTAATGTGTCCAAGGTTGTACAGTAAGGGGCACAGCTTAGGATATGAACTCAAGGAGTCTAGTTCCAGAGCTTCTCCTCTTAAACATTATAAAATAGCCTTAAAAGCTTCTTATGTCAAAGGATGAACTAAAAATCTGGATAACTCTGCCTTTACAAACTTCTTGCAAACTGCCATAGACACCAGCAAAATTACTATATCAATCCACAAAGACGCTATATGCTTCCATAATAATATGCACTTAAATGTAATACTATTCTGTTAGCTATTTAATGAAGTCCTTATCGACTGTAATGTTGTCCCCCTGATGATGCCAAAACCAATTCCCCTTAGAATAAACCACAGAACCTTACTTTGTGGGTGTGGGTATATAAATTCCATGCCCATTAAATTCCTCTGACTCTATGAATCATTCAAAAACAAGGATTTTCTATTACATTTATCTCTAAAGTGGAATTACTGGCAATTATATAATTTGTCATGCTGTGAATGACAGTTGTGACAAAATCTAGTGCTTTCAAAACTTACGTAGTAACATTCACAATAATCAATTCTCAGGAGAATTTTATTCCAGTGTTTTTAATGCTATACACGTATATCTACAAAACTTCAATTGCACTGTGCAAATCCAGTGTTTGATTAAATCTGGCTTTTGCTCGAAAGTAATAAGCTTTTTTAAATTTTCATCACTACCATGGCAAAAATTCTCAATTCTAGAACACGTATGAGCCTTTTGCTTCCGACGATAGTGGAGGAGTTACCTCAAACAAACCTTCCTTTAAGAACCAGGAAAGCAAAACAAAAAGTAATCTGTTTAAAACCACTAGAGAACCTGCAGGACAGTGAGAATCTGTAGGACTGAGATCTGGAAGAAACAGACGAGACCAGACTGTAGGCTCATTTCCCCCCAAGAGTCAATGAATTACTGGCCGAGAGCCTGAGAAGCTAAGCAGAGATCTGTGAGTGGGGGCACAAAAAATCAGATCCAGGGCCACCCGAGGAGGAACAGCCCCAGTAAACATTCCAGAAATCTGGAGGGTGCCCAAAGAACTACACCCTAGCTATCAAGGTGAACCAAAAGTAGACCAGGCCACACAAGGAGAGAAATATAGCTTCAAATCTTCTCAATCCCTGCTGAAATTAAGGTAACCTGACCTACCTAGTGTCATTAACCTAGCTGCATGTTAATAAAAATCTTCTCAAAGAAACTTAGCAAAAGTAAATCTTATCAGAAAAAAGATATCATCCAGAAATCCAAATTATTTTATCATTTATATAAAATGTCTTAAAATAAAAAATAACCAGTCAAGACGTGACTGAAACCAAAATTTAAAAACGTCAACAGAAATATACCCACAGTAGTTACAGATGTCATTATCGGAAAAGGACTTTCAAATAAATTAATGTGTGCAAAGAATTAAAAAAGAAAACAAAAAATTTTAGCACATAATTCTTAAAAATATAAAAAATACAGAAAAAATATGATTTTGGAAACAAATTAGGAAACTGATGAGTTCAACAATAGGTTTGCTACAGCTGAAGAATGAATGACCCAAAAGATTATAAAGAGAGAAATAGTTACGCTGAAGCCCAAAGAGATAGAAGAATAAAAAATACAGAAAAGAGTGAAAAAATTATGAAACATGGAGAAAAGATCCAAGATACATGTAACAGGAGTCCCAGAAAAGAAAATGAAAAAACATATGGGAAGAAGAGATATTTAAAGACCTAACAGTATAAAATACAGCAGCTGAAGAAGTGGGACTGACTCCTGGAATACAAGAGTAAGTCCACATGCTAAAAATCAATCCAGGTGATATGCCACACTAAGAGAATGAAGAAAAAATAAAACACATGATCATCTCAATTGATGCGAAAAAGGACGTGAAAAAGTACAATACTTTTTTATAATAAAAACAACCAATTAGGAATAGAAGGAAACTATCTCAATATAATAAAAGTCATATAGAAAATCCCACAGCTTACACCATAATCGATGCTGAAAGACTGAGAGCTTTCGCTTTACTATCAGAAACAAGACAAGGATAACTGATTTTGCAACCTCTATTCAACAATGTAGTGAAGTTCCAGCCTGAGCAATTACACAAGAAAAACAAATAAAAGGTACCCAAATTGGAAAGGAAGAAGTATAATTATCTTCATTTGCAGATGACATGATCTTATTATGTGTAGAACCCCTTGAAGATTCCACAAAACCATTGTTACAACTAATAAAAAAATTCATTAAAGTGGTCAAATACAAATCAACACACAACAGCTTTATTTCTATATATTAACGATGAAAAGTCTGAATTAAGGAAAGAATTCCATTTACAATAGCATCAAGAAGAATAAAATACTCAGGAATTAATTTATTCAACGACATGAAAAACTTGTACACTGAAAACTAAAAAAAAAAAAAAACCACTGAAAAAAAGAATTAAAGAAGAAAACCCATGTTCATAGATTGAAACACAATGTTAACATTTCAGTATTACCCAGAGCAATCTGCAAATTCAATGCAATCCCTATCAAAATTCCAATAAAAAAAAAAGAAAATGCCATCCTAAATTCATATGGAATCTCAAGGAACTCCAGATAGCCAAAAAAAATCTTGAAGAACAGAGTTGGAGGACTCAGTCCCTAATGTCAAAATCTTGCACAAAACAACAATAATCAAAATATAGTATAGTACTGACATAAAGACAGACATATAGACCAACAGAATAGAGAGCGCCCAGAAATAAATCCATACATATATGGTTAAATGTCAAAAAGTGGCAATGGACACTATCAGCACATAAGACAGCAACCCACAGAATGGGAAAAAATAATTGTAAATCACTTTATCTAATACGAGATTAATATCCAGAATACATTTTTTTTTTTAAAAACCCTAATACAAAAACAAAAAATAAACCACCCAATTTCAAAAATGGGCAAAGGACTTGAATAGACATTTCTCCAAAGAAGATATACAAATGGAAAATAAGCACCTGTAAGGGTGCTCAAAATCACTAATCACCGCTGCACAAATGCAAATCAAAACCACAGTAAGATACCACTTCACACCCATTTGGATGACTATTAACAGAACAAACAAAAAGACACAAAACGACAAGTGTTACTGTGGATGTGGAGAAATTGGAACCCTTGTGCATTGTTTTGGAAATATAAAATGGTATGGTTGATGTGGAAAACAGTATGGTGGTTACTAAAATACACACACACACACATATAGAATTACCACTTTATCCAACAATTCCACTTCTAGGTATATACACAAAAGAACTGAAAGAACTCAAACAACATATGTGTAAACTAATGTTGATAGGCGCATTATTCACAAAAGTCAAAAGGTGCAAACAACCCAAGTGTCCACTGGCACACGAACATAGAAGCAAAAAAAAACAAACAACAAAAACGCGGATAAGTATACATACTATATACATAAAGTAGAATATTTTTCAGCCTTAAAAATGGATATCCTATCACATGCTGTAACACAGATGAATCTTGAAAATTTTATGCTAAAATAAGCCAGTTACAGAATACTACATAATTCCATTTATATGAGCTATTTAGAGCTGTAAAATTCAGAATGACTGAAAAAGAAACGGTAGTTGCCAGGGACAGGAGGGAGGGAGGAATGGGGAGTTAGTGTTTACTGGGTTCACCTCAGCAGTATGAGGTGATGAAAAAGTTCTGGAGATGGATGGTGGGAATTTACTAAATGCCACTGAACTGTACGCTTAAAAATGGCTACAACGGCAAAGACTATGTTATGTGTATTTTACCACACTTTCAAAAAATAAGAAGTACGTAAACTCCTTTAAAATAATTTCAGGTTTCAAATTTTATTAATACAAGGAGTTTTAGTAGAAATAGCAACATTTAAAACCAACCTTTAAAACTAAAACCTAACTGTAGCAAACACAGTTGGGCATTTTTTTCCCATACAGAAAGTAATGTATCTTACCCTAGGGCGTAAAAATGAATCTCTCTAATTAAATCGCCAGGTCTATAACTGTATTCAGGCAATATTAATACAGTGAAAAAAAACAGTTTAAACTGAACTCTGTTGACTGAAATTTTTTTTAGTAGCTCAATTTTTTACAAAATCAGGAACTAGTTTTAAAAAGATGCCCAATATGGGTTTTGTTGTCTTAATTTAGGAGATAACAGAATGTAGCACTCCAATTCAGGTCAAGTCATACTAATACTGATTACAGGTGTTCAGTCTTTTACCATCAATTTTGTTTACTGTTTTAAAGAACCTTGTTTCGTAAGTAGATAAATATTTTAAGAGCATGGACTTTAAACAGAAGGTGAACTTACTTTCAACTTGGCCCTTATTAAATAAACATCACTCTTTGAGTTCATTCATCAAAACACACCATATTTTGACGATTCTAGTAAATCAACTACCTGTTTAATTTTATAAAAAGCTACTAAAATAAACTTCCTAATAGAGTAATTATGTACAATCAACAGCTGAATGCTTTTAACAAATAAACAGGTATCTATCAAGAGGAAATCTGTAATGATTCATTCCTTCTTTAAAAGGGAGGAACTTAAGATTTCAATTTTGGCCATACTAAACTTGAGATGGTCATGGATCATACAAGTGGAAATGTCAAATAGGAAGCTAGATAAAGCTCAGACATCAGCACTAAAAATACACCTTGGGGAGTTTGGGCATCTTGATATTAATATTGTAGGGAAAATGTGCCCACCTAGGGGTAAAATATAAAATGGAAAAAAAACAAAAGTACCAGGGAACAAAACATTTGTCTTTGAAAATGAATAGCTCGAAACTATCCTTTAGATACAAAGTTTTTAAACAATTTGGTCCACGTTTAAAAAAATTTTTTTTCAAAAAGAAACCTGAATTTCAGCTTCCCTTGAAAAATCCATTCTACTTTCAAAAATTCTAAGGAAATAGTAAGACAATGACAAAACAAATACATATGGATGTTCATTCCAATGCAATCAAAATATGAAATCATAAAGGGCAAAATACTTATAAGTAAGCACACAGGGATAACCTGTCTAAATGATAAAACGTGGTAGCCAGCGTTTCCAAAACTAAAACAAAGCAATTTTCTCAAAGAAAACTAGACTAAGGCACATCCTAATCAAATGACTATACTAAGGCACATCCTAATCAAATGACTAAAACTATACTAAGGCACATCCTAATCAAATGACTAATCAAATGACTAAAACTAAGGCACATCCTAATCAAACAGCTAAATGTTTTAGCTATTCATTGAAAAAGTCTTAAGAGCAGTCCAAAAAAACAGAAAATTTACATATGGGGGTACAAAATAGTATCAGACTTTCTGTCCGAAACTATTCAAGCTATTTCAGAAACTGTTTCACAACATATTACCAGAGATAAAGAAGCACATTTCAACACAGAGAACCCAATTAATTCACCAAGAAGACATTAAAAAAAACTAAATATGCATGTGCCTAATAATAGAGCTTCAAAATACATGAACAAAAAGTGAAAGGAGAAACACACAAATCCATAATGAAAGTTGAAGATTTCCACATTCCTCACTCAGCAATTACTGGAATAAACAGAAAATCAGAAGGGATGAATCTTGAAGAACATTACCAACCAATTTGACCTAATTAACGTGTTTAGAAAGTCCCACTCAACAGCAGCAGAATGTTTGGTGCACAGCAAAGATTTACTAATACAGACAACATTCTGCACTTACAATAAATACACAAAGTATGTTCTTGGGCTACAACAGAATTAAATTAGAAGCCTATTAGATTAAAAATATCTGGAAAATAAACCAAATATTTGGAAATTATACAGATCAAAAAGAACCACAAAGAAATTTTAAAATTCTTTGAAATCCATGTAAATGAATATATACTATAAACTTTGTAGGATGCAGGCAGATATAGGAAAATTTAAACTATTAAGTGCTCCCTTGGAAAATAAGAAAGGCCACCAATATCAGAATGAAAGACGAGATTATCACCATAGATCCTTCAAACATTAAAAGAGTAACAGAATGTAATATGCAACTTCATGTCCACAAATTAGAGAACTTACATGAAGTGAATGAATTCCTTGAAACAAACAAACTAAAGCTTATTCAAGATGTTGAATATAAATCTAAATAGTCCAAAGTCAATCAAAACAATTGAACTCATAGTTTAAAATCTCCCCACAAAGCAACTCCAAACCCAGAGGCCTTGGCTGGTAAATTTTATCAGACACTTTACTAAAGAAGAAATAACACCAATTATAAAGAAATTTTTCCAGAAAAGGAAATCTTTCCAACTCATTCTAATATCTAGATTTAAAAAAAAAATTTTAACTACAAACCAATGCCTGAGAAAACAGATTTTAAAAACTGTTACCTAAATTTTAGCAAATTAATCCAGCAATATATAAAAAATGTAACACATCATGACCAAAAGTGATTACTTCAGAAATGCATGTTTTATTGGTTCAGTATTCAAAAATCAAGCAATGTGATTTACTACATTAACCAAAAGATTTTAAAAAGAAACACATAATTATCTCAAAAGATGCAGATAACTCAATAAAAATTTAATGCCCATTCATAAGAAAAAAACTCTCAGCAAGCTGTGAATAGAAGGAAATGTCCTCAGTCTTATAAAGAGTATCTATGAAAATCTATTGCTAACATCAATGGTGAAAGACAATGTTTCTGACCTAAGACCAAGGGCTAAGGAAAGGATGTCAGCTCACCACTTCTATTCAACACTGCACTGGGACTACTAGGCAGTGCAATAAAGCAAATAAAAAAAATACAAGATATAAGAATTGTACAAGAGGAAGTAAAATATTCTTTATTCACAGACAAGATGATGTCGTTTGTAGGACCACAAAACATTTGAAGGAATATGCAATAATACCATTAGTACTAATGAGTTTAGCAAAATCACAAATTACAAGGTTTTACACAAAAATCAATTATATTTCTATATACTAAGAACAAAAACTGATTTTCTTTAAATTGCCACTCATAACAACAATAATAAAGGGTCAGCTGAACAAAACATACATAATGCCTTTACATTAAAAACTACAAAATACTGCTGAGAAAAACTAAAGACAACTTCAATGGAGAGAAATACCAAGTTCATGCATCAAAATACTTAACATCCTTAAGAGTTCAACTCTCTCCCCCAAATTGGCCTCTAGGGTAAAAATATTCATAATTAAAATGCCATTAGACATTTTTGTAGAGACTGACAAGCTGATTCTAAAATACACAGAAAGAAATGGAAAGAACCTAGAATAGAAAAACAACTTAGAAATAGAAGAACAAAGTTGGAGGATTTACACCACTCGATTTTAAGACTCACTGTAAAGCTGCTTGATTACTGTCTTGTAATCAAAACAGTACAGTACTCTCATAAGGACAGATATATAGAACAGAACAGAGTCATAAAATAGACCCACATATGATGGTCAATTGATTTTCAACAAAGATGCCAAGGTAATTCAACAGCGGAAAATATTATCTTCTCAAAAATGATTTTGGAACAATTTATTTCCATTTGCAAAGAAATAAATCTCATCCCTTACCTCACACCATATAAAAAAGTTAACTCAAAATAGACCACAGACCTAAAATATAAGAGCCCAAAGCAGTTCCAAGACATGAAAGAAAAAAAAGGTAGGAAAAAATCTTGCCCAATCTCTGTGCCAACTCCTCCAATTTCTACTCCAAATTAGGGCAGAATGATAGGGGAAAATCCCTAATTGGAAGCTCTTCAGTCAACATATAAATCTATTCAAAAGGAAAGAGCATTACCCATCTAAGTACTCAAGAATAACTCCTAAGCAAGTAGTTATTAACTCAAGCATAACCCTCAGAGCCAGAGAAAGCCTAACAGGAAGAATTAGACATTCTACATCCTTGAACTTAGTTAGGGAAGAAAGCATTATAAAAAATTTCCTAAAGCTTAAACATGACCCAAAATATAACAGCTGAAATTATGCGCAGAGCCATTACCAAGGTTCAGAGAAGGTTCACAGTTCTGAGCTATGGGAATAAGACTGGCTAAATACCTACAAGTGTTTTAATCGAATCACTCGGTTTAGAGCAGTTATTAGACAAAATGAACTTATGAGAAATGTAAATAAAATGAAAAAGAAACATTCAAAGATTTAGACAAAACTAACCAAAGTTTGGATTTTAAAATGTGAATTAAACTTCATTATCGCCATCCTGCCTATACATATATAAGTTTTGGACTTAAGGATACTTTGCTTCAATTGAAAAGCAATGCCTTTTCTCTAGTTCCCCAAAATGAAAGATACCATAAAATGTGCTGTTCTTCAAAGTTTAACAACAAAAATATATAGCCACAAGAAACTGATATTGGAATAAAGTATTTTAACAAGGAACTCATTTTGTAAGTTCATAAATGTACTTTCTAACATTTAATTTTTCAAGGAAAAAATTAGACCTTATGTTAAATAGCAAAACAACTCTTAAAATGACAACAACAACAAAGGTCTTAAGTACCTTTCCCACATTTTTTACTGACATAAATCAGGCTTAATCAACGATATCTAATATTTCAAATGTTAATGCTAACTTATAATGTACCAAAACCATTCCCTGCTAACATTTTTAAAATTACATTATTTTTTAATATTCTAGTGTCAATACAATTTTTTTTCCCAATTAAAAACAAAAAGGTAGACTTCATATGCGGTTTCACTCATGAAAACTTCTAAGGCTACGCATTTTGCTGACATACTGAAACCATTAACCTAGACCAATTACGTTTTTAAATCAAAACAGAGTACTCCAGGGCTTTGCAATTATGGGCCTATGATTTAAGGCAATAAATTCAAAGTCACAAAAAAAGCCCACATTTTAAACAATCTCTTAAATTAGCTTAATTTTTTTCACTTACCCTTCCCATCTTTCAAGAAACATGGCTAGATGTGTGCACTTCATCTGTCATTTGAAAACTCTTACCTCAGCTGTGTTATCCTCCAACCCTCCCCTCCTCCTAATTCCTGTCACAGTAAATATGGACTACCTACTTTAGATTTTTTTTTTTTTTTTAAAAAGGTAACTGATATGGAATTGGCAAAGATGTAAAGATCTGGGTTTATCTGAGTAGTGTCAGAACATAATACACAAGAAACTATAACTATATAATATTATGCACTTCAACTGGATTCTATAAATTTACTTAATTCATCTACATTAATCCCCAAGATAAACTCCAAAATGATTGCCATTCAAACTCACAAGACAGTCTGAATGGATTTTATTTAACTCTCAAAGTTAAATGTTTTAACAAAGCATCTCCATGGTATTTACTTCATATTGTAGAAAAATGAAAAGTGTCTTACTAGAAATGATGTCTCAACAAAAAGTGCACTTAGATGTGATCCTTGAAGAAAATTCTTCCTTGTTACTTTTTCACAAAATGCAATTCCTTAATAAAGAAAAAATATGAGATGGGTTAGCAATTGTTCTTAACTCAGAATTAAATATATTTCATTATTACAAATTCCAACAATACTACCATGCCTGGCAGACAGCTCCACAAATACTCACTGAATAATAGGAAAATAAATATTTAAAAGTCAGTTATTTTATTTGGCTAAAAAACATAATGTTAGCCAACTGAGCATTTCTAATGTCACTAACCCATTTTTTCAGAGAGTATTACTTAAATGTTCAATAATATTCTACACACTCCAAGACTCACCAGCTGGTTTCCTAGGTTCCATTTTCCCATCCTTTGTATCACATGATAATACTTTATATTTACCTGGAACACACAGCCTACTGAATTTATGTCTGGATGCAACTGTTGAAAATATTCACTGTACTGTGTTCTCATTAAGAAAACTGTCAATAGGTCAGCAATTTCTATTGCCATAATATATGTTTGTATTCATATACAATGTATATACTTATAGCTTTCACTATCTTTTGAAGAGAACATAAAATGGAAATGACCACAAAATGCCAAAATATAAAACTGATCAATGTCAATAATTCACATTAATAAAGGAACACTGGTGAATACTAACCAATGGATTAGTGCATAAAGAACCATCCAGTCCCGCTACAGTTTTGCTTGGAAATGGTAGCAAGATATTTAGGCAGAAAAGGGAAAGATGGTAAAAACTACCCCTCTCTTCACCCCACCTGGGCAGGATCCATGATGCTGCTAATCCAGTAATTCAGAGCCACACGACTGGGCAATTCTGCCAGTCCCCACATAAATCTGCCTCATCAAATGAAAACCGTCATTTCTCCACAGAAAGTCTTTGTAATCTGGGCCGACAGTATTAATTACTGTAATACTGTAACTTTATTTCTACTCCAAACAAACTTTTTCCACTTCCATCTTCTTTTTATAGTAACAAATTAAGTAGTAAAAGCTTGAACTTTAAAACACACACACACACTCAAGCCTTTTCTGCAAGGTTAAAAGCTTTTTTTTTTTTTTTTTTTGAGGAGTTTGCTCTTAAAAGCCGATTTCAGCTTTTAATCTAATTGCATTGAAATGTAGAAAAGAAAATAACTCCTCAAATATAGTTTTACTTACCAACTTCTAAAATCAAATAATTCAAAGTTAAAATATTTTTCATGGGTCCTCACTCTAAACAAAACTAACTATTTTAATATGTATCTTAGTAACAATTTTGTGTTCGTGTCACAGCAGGAATTAACCTTTAGCTATTTGACCCATGGTAAATAACTAATTAAACATATTTATGTTTACACATTGTAGTACATGTTCTTACATCAAAATTCATTCCTCCACTCAGAAAATGAATTGTGATTGAGAACTATGTACAAAACACAAGTTATCAAAGAGTTTCTAAAAGGCAATACTCTAAAAATCAAGTTTTTATAGTTATCTTCTAATTATCTACAATGAAACACACTCTGACTTTCAAACAATAAAACCACAGCTAAAATGTTACTGCTGCAGCCAGTTATAATTAAATTTCATATACCGAACCTCCAAATCCCACTGCTTACATCCAGGCAAGGGCCAGACAACCTGTACCTCTAACTGCTGCCCTCCCGAACCTGGTCGCAACCAACCACCCAGCTCCCTCTGCTTCTGGGTAACCTAGACCGTTGTTAACCTGGACTTCAAGCCATTGCCCAAAGTGTCAATCTCTATAATTCTGTTCACCTTTTTACCCCAGTGAATGCAATGTATGTAATATGTATGGCAGATTAGTGAAAAGTCCTTCATGAGAAAAAAATAAAGCAAGAGAGAAAGTACTATCATAGGGAGGGGACTAAAACGTGAGCAAAGGTATCTGGGGAAGACCTGGTGTAGTAACAGGAACAACTGCAACAGCAGCAGTAACATCTGAGATTTTTGTCTGCTAATCAGTATTCTAACTGCTTTAGGTAAAGCCACCAACAGCCTCACTGTGGCCCTCAAGAGGAAACTGAAATACTAAGGAGCGACCTGTCAGGGTCACGCAGCCAAGCTAGTTAAGTAGTGAAGCCAGGACTAGAACTCAGGCATGCTTTAACCACTAAGCCTAACCACAGTTCAATTAATGCTTTTTTTGAATTAAGTAAGTGAAAAAATGAATGCATACTGTAACAACAGGTTCAAAAAACAGCAAAGTAAACCTCAGTCTCAGAGGACTGACACCTTTGAGCAGCTTCTGATATACACCGATACACACTGCCCATCGATACCTATGTGAGAGAAACCCTGACGAATAACAGGTGGGTGCCTGCTGTGAACAAAAGTGATGAACACTGATAACTCCCCAATAACTTGTAAAATATATTTTAAATTTCTACATGACAGTTACCACAAATAAAAATTACACAAGATAGTATCACAAAAATCACATGGTTAAAAAAAAACAACTTTTAAAGAAGGCACTCTAAAACAAATGAGACCTTTGAAAGCGTTATCATTTCAATGATGAATAAATGCTGACGATCATATTTTATGCTATGGCACAACTTACTGTCAATTTCATTTTCCATATTAACAAGAAAGGTTAAATGTAATGACCAAAGTTCAAATTCCTCTCTTCAAATGTCTCAACTGCATTTTACCAAGCAAACAGACAACCCTATTACAATGATTGATACCTGAAGACCTAAATAACCCAAAATAAATAATTTGCTCACTAATACCTATCTCTTGTTATTTAAGCACCTAACCAGTGAATGCCAATAAGCTAGAAAGCAAAGTAAAATCAAGATACTGCTGACATGATATTAAGATTCTAGTTTCAAATCTTAAGGGCCTAAAAACCTAAACAGCTCCTCAAATCTTGACTTAAAAAAACAAACAAACAAAAAAACCCCTCCATAAATGTAAAAAGGAAATTACTATCTTATTTTGGAAATTATAAGAACTCCACTGAACACCTCTGCCCTGAGCATAATGTGATGTCAAAGAAAAGAGGTTTCTGTATGAAAAGAACAACAGCTTTAAAGTCAATCTAGATTAGGACAAAAGTTAAACGGGGGGGAAAAAGTAACAAAGAACAGTCTATAAACACAATAAAAATTGCCTATTTGCTCAAATATGAATTTCAATTTGTAATAAAAACATGGGTGTAGTGGCAATGCTCTCATACATGGGCATCAAGCTCCTCATGCCTTAAAAATACTTGGCTGGCACCCATGATGTAGTAACTGGTGCCAGACATGCTCTCCCACTGAACTTAATTTAAAAAACAGGTCAGATATAGAATACTATAATTTTAAAACACTGGACAGCAAGCAGCTGAGCACTGTGATGTCTGAAAAAAGGACAAGTGTCCCCTACAAATAAATTCCTGGATGCAGAGTCAGGAGGGCAGTGCAGGAATGGGAGCCAAGCAGAGCATGGTGGACTCTGCGACTCTGAGTAGAAGACACAGAGAATGAAATTAAGGGAGGCTGAGGTAGGGGAAATTGTGGGGCAGCTCAAGAAGAGAAAGTGTTCCTGAAATCTGCAGAGAGGTTTCTAGAGAAGCTCTGCCCAGAAGAAATGTAAGGTAAGCCTAAAATGAAATTTTACATTTTCTATTAACCACATTTGAAAGTAAAATGAAGCAGGTGAAACTGATTTTAACATAATTCATTTAACCCAATACGCTCAAAACGTTATCGTTAATGTTCAGAACATAACTGAAACTCGGTGTGTGTTATACACTTACAGCATATTTAAATTTTAACTAGCCACAGTTCAAGCTCTCAGTAGCCACATGTGGCTACCTGCTACCATACCTGACAATGAAGTTTTTCATTGACTATCAAGCCAGGCATGAACAAAGTGAAACTCTATAAAGCAACGCAAAGAAAAATGATCGGGAAGCAGCTCAAACGCCCCCAGGGCTTACATTAAGACTGGGGGATGTCCAAGTTCCCCAGGGGAGCGAGATCTCACTGAAACCTGGGGCAATCAGAAACTGAAGCAGAATGGCCCCTAAGCAGAAGTGCTGAACTAGTTCTCACGCAAAGGTTCCACTAGACCTGCCAGAATAAAGTTCAAAAACAAGCCTTAAAAGGTTCAAAAAGATCTATGAGAAGTATAACAGCCTGGCGAAACAACATTACAGTCACTCGTGAGGAAATCAACAAACTCCAGACAACAGCATGATGAATGTCCAAGAGTCAATCAAAACTAACTAAAATAAGAAAATGGGAAAATGTGTGGCCCATACCAGGAGAAAAATCTGAAAAAATAAACAGATCCAGAAACAGAGAGACGATAACTTTAAGACATATAAACTTTAAAATATTATAAACATATTAAAGTATTTTAAAAAAAACAAGAAATTATTTTTAAAAAGAGTCAAATGGATTTCTAAAGATGTAAAAGGTAGTTTCTCACAAAAGAACTGTACAGACTTAGCAAGAATTAAACAGTGCAGAAAAAATGACTCCTGAATTGAACTATTGCATTCACTAAAACAGCTCAACTTAAAAAGGCTGGCCACACAGAATGTTGAAGACACAGAGAAACTGCAACTCACTGCTGGTAGGACTATAACATTATACAACTACTTCAGAAAACAGTTTCACAGTTTCTTATAAGGTAAAACACACAATTCACATATGATCCAGAAATCCCACTCCTTGGTGTTTGCCCAGGAATAATGAAAGCGTTTGTCCACATGAAGGCTTGTTACTCAGGTGTGCACAGGAGCTTTCTTCCTAACAGCTCCAAAGTGGAACCAACCAAAATGTCCACAGGAGGTGAACAGAGAAGTTGTGGTATAAACACATAACAGAACACCAGACACCAGAAAAATGGGGCAAACTGATAGACACAAACATGAATGAATTGCAAAAACATTTTGGTGAGGAAGAAAAGGAAAATACTAGTGAGTACGTAGTGTATGATTCCACTCAGGAATAAATTTGCAAATTTTTGAGCCACCACCAAAGAACATACGAGGATGCCAAATTCACATGTTATAAGAGCCAGGCCTCAACACTGGAAAGCTATATATGCATAATTTCCTGACGTTACAAAGGTAAGCCTAAGAACAACCAACATTACCTCTTAAGTCTTTGATTCTTCATCTATAATAATATAGTAACAGTTCATAAACTTCATCAAATTAGTTGTGAGTACTAAATAAGCATATAATGTGCTTAGCGTAGTGCCTGGAATACAGTATAAGCTCAATAAGTGCTAATTACTGGGGCTGTTTTTATAACCATCATCACAATAATTATAGTTGCTTATGGGGAGGACAATACATTCATAAAAAGAGATAACCCAGAAAACAGACAAATGAAACAGATGGACGTCGCTGGAAATCAATTAGTTAACATTCCTATCAAAAACTCATCACTTTGTTGATGACATCAGAAAGGCAAACATTACAGCAAAAGCCAAATGAGAAGTTTGGGAATATATTTGGAATTATTTAATAGCTGGTACTAAAATTGAAAAAAATACTGCTAAGGTCTTACAAGATTTGTAAGCATATAAATAGATACTAAGTCACAAGAAACAATACCTTTCAGTCACTAGAACTTCACAGAAGCAAGCATTTAAGGAAGGAAGTGATTTGAAGCGCCCAGGGACTGTTCCAATTACAGGAGGTAAGGAAGCGAAAGACGACATAAACTCGAGTAGGTGTCAAAAAAAAGCAAAACAGGGTGCAGGATAGAACAACACAATTAGGAGCTACCTTGAAAATAGGAAAGCATGTGAATTTAACGTGACCAAAAAAATGCAAAGATAAGAGAAAGGCAAAACTAATCTTGTCAACGGGAATTATGCACAATTCCAGGCTGAGCAAGGTCCAAAAGCTGGTTCTTATATAATCCCCACCAAAACATAACCTATCACATTCTTTGCTAGTGGACAGAGAAGGGAGCATTTGTGTCATACACGACGGTCCACTAATGCCAAGATATGTCCATTGTCCCCATGCCCTTCCACCTCCAT